TAGTAGCGGAGTCATTATAATCATAATCGGAACGACCTACCTCATTTATTCTCACTTGATCCAAGTGTCTGTTATGAACTGAATTATCTTCGATGTCTAATATCTTCACCATTCGATTTCCCATTCTTTGTAGTATGATACCAATAGAAGGTCTATAATCATTCCCTCTGTAATAATGTACATCAGAAGTCGTGGACATCAGATGCTTTCTGAGAATTCGGGATTTGAATAGTTTTGCAGGACTTTCACAGGTACTTGTATGCTCCGCATTGCGATATTGAAGTAAGAAGTTATCCACACATCTCTCTAGCTCATCAAAATTTTGAGGACTCATTGATGCTATAGCACTCTTTAATGTTCGTACAAAATTTTCTGCCAACCCGTTTGACTGAGGATGACGTGGTGCTGTGTACAAATGACGACAACCTATATGTTTGAGCCAATCATTGAAGTTCTTCTCCGTAAAATGAGTACCATTGTCAGTAACTAAGACATCTGGAATTCCTTCTCGACTAAAAATCTTTCTCAACGCTCTGTGAGTGAATTTGGCATTAGGACTATCTGTAATGATGACTTCTGGCCATCTAGAATAAGAATCCACAATAACTAAAGCATAATATGAATTTAAGAATGGACCACAGTAATCTGCATGAATACGCTGCCAAACCTCACAAGATGCAGGCCACGGTGTCCACGATGACTTCCCATAGGACATTTTATGTAAACAGCTAGAACAGCTCTTTGATCTTTTGTTAATGTCAGCATCAATTTCCGGCCACCAGCATGTTAGGCGTGCTAATGATTTCATCTTATCAGCTCCTAGATGAGCAGAATGTAGATCATCCAAAATCGCAGATCTTAATGTTGGAGGAATAATAATTCTGTCATTCAGACATAGAAATCCTTCAGGATGGACTGAAATCTCATCTCTTCGCTTATAAAAGTCTGGAAATCTTCGCTTACACTGAACATTCCAACCTCTTTTTGTTGCATTTATAACGCATCCGTAATATTTCCGAGTATCATTTATAAGTCGAACTCGATCCACCGGTAACGGCTGGACTAATAAGCAATCAGTATCATTAGCAGCATTTTCAAATAATGAATAACGAGATAAGAAGTCTGCATGAGGTATATCCTTTGCCGATCTATGTTCAATAGTGTAATCATATGCACTTAGTTCTAAACTCCATCTTTGAACCATAGCAGCAGATGATTTATTCAAAGATTTTTCTGGATTGTAAATGAATTTCAAAGCTTGATGATCAGTAACTATGTGAAACTTAGTACCAAAGAGATACTTGTGCAAGCGTCTTATTGCCCATACAACTGCTAAAGCTTCTTTCTGGGTTTGTGAGTACCCTTGTTCACTCTTACTTAGACGTCTTGAAATACAAATAACAGGTTGTCCATTTTGCTCAAGTACTGCAGCTATACCCATAGGAGAAGCATCTGTAGTGAGAACAGACTTATCTTTCGATGAAAAAGGTCTTAAGAAAGCTTGTTTATTAAGAAACTCCAAAGTTTTTCGCAAGATATTCTCATGTTGTTGTTCCCACTTAAACTGTTTACTGGAGACAATCTCAAAAAGTGGAGATAACCGTTGAGTGAAGTTGGGAATGAATCTGGAGTAAAACTGAAGAGTACCTATCCATGATCTCAATGACGACATATTATTAGGTGACGGTGCTTGAATTAGAGGTGCCAAACGACTAGCATCAGGTCTGAAACCTTCGGAGTCTACTGTGTATCCCAAGCATGATACAGACGACAAAGTGAAATGGCATTTAGATGGATTAACAAGAACATTATTCTCACATAAACGCCTGAACAGTTTTAAAAGACGTTCATTATGCAATTCGATATTAGGACCATGAACTATAATGTCGTCTTGGTATGACTCAACACCATCTAATCCATCTATCATCTGATTTATTACATTTTGAAATATTGCAGGTGAAACCTTTAAACCAAAAGGCAAGAACTTATACTTGAACAATCCAAATGGAGTATTAATGGTTGTTAATGCACTAGACGCCTCATCAAGAGGAATTTGCAAATAGGCATCTTTTAGATCTATTTTGGAAAAGTATCTTGAGCCATGTAGCTTGTAGAGAATGTCTTCAGTTTCTAGAGTAGTGCAACTTTGCTGTAGTAGACGACTATTGAGTGTAAGGCGGTAGTCACCACAAATTCTAGGTGTTTTTCCATCAGCCTTTAGTGGCGTAACAATAGGAGTAGCCCAATTTGAAGACTCAACTGGCATAAGTATGCCTTGCTCAACCAACTTGTCTAACTCTTTCTTAACTGCATCTCGCAATCCATATGGAATTAATCGGCGTTTCAGGAAGATAGGATCACCCTCTATTTCAAGATGGATGGGCTGAATCTTCATACCACCTACACTCTTTGAACATTGGAGAAGTAATTCTCTGAACAAAGATTCATCAAACAACTCAGTACAAAGTGAGATTTCGACATTTAACAATCTAAGGGCTTTTAATCCCAATAAAGATGGACCATATTCACTAACAAGAAAGGGAATATTTACAAAATTACCACTGTCTGATTTCAAAGAAATGTTAGTAGCACCGATAAGAGGTAATTTATGACCAGTTATGCCTGTAATTGAACTAGTAGTAGGGTCTATCTGGACATTCTTACAAATCGATTGTAAATCTTTCTTAGAAATTATAGATTCAGTACTCCCAGTATCAATTATAAAACAATGGGACTTGCCTGAACTTGTAGTGAAGGTTCTCATTAGATGAGATTGAGTATTGGGAAAAGTTGAAAGAGACATCGACTGCATTTTACCAGATAAATTGGAAGAATTATCAGGATTCTGAGTAACATAAGTATTCGAACTTCTGCAAACAGTCTTGATGTGTCCAACTTTACCACATTTGTGACACTTAGCACCCCGAAAACGGCAAGTGCTTCGTAGATGTAACTTTCCACAGGATAAACACGGTTTAATGTTTTTGATCTCTCGCTGCATTCTATTACCTGTGGACGGCAGTTTGGATTGCTTTCCATGACCACTTGTATTTTCGACTTTAGAAAGCATGACATCAGATACTGACGTAGTGGGAGCAGAGTATTCATTATTGACATCTTCATATGTAATACATAAATCTTTAGCAGTTTGAAAAGTACAAGAAGGAATCTGAATTAACTCTTTCTCTAACTTAGGAATATTGATTCCAGCAATTAGACGATCACGTAGTTGAGTATGCAGCTGATCTCCAAAGTTACACTTTGAAGCTTGTATTTGGAGTTGCAGAATAAAGTCTCGAATCTTCTGGTTGGGAGCACGAACCAGTTTGTTGAACTGAGCCCTCTCTCGAGTCTCAAAAGTAGTTATATGGAAGTGATCTATCAGAAGTTCACGTAGTTTATTATATGGCAGAGAAATGGGTTTATCTGGAAACACCAGATTCTTCACTAGGCTATACGCATCTAGCCCAATAGCAGTGATGAAATGTGCTGGTATTTTGTCATCCCGAACATTCTTTGAAATGCACCACGCATCGAAGCATTCAAGGTAATCAGCAATCTCCCGCGGAGAACCATTAATGGGGAATTTTCCCAGGTTATTTAGTTCCATCGCGACGCCAATTTGTAGTAATTTATTGTAGTTGGAATATTAGTATTTCGAGATGACCGAATTACACGAATCCAACCGAAACACAGAGAGGGCAGAACTCAGGAATTTGTATTTAGCGGAATTATTATGCAATTCATATATGAAATATTAACAATCAACAGTAAGTATTTAAACAATACAAAGATAGAAATAGTCAATCACCGCAAACAACCATATGGTGGAATTTAAGTTTCAAGACATGCATTTTTTGTAAACACCAGTTTACACGAAATATAAATTATTATTATTATAAGGGTTTAAATGGGTTAATAACAACTTGACTTGCAATATTCAATCATGATTAGTCAACACAGAAAGAAATCTCGAAAATTTAATGCTCATGAGACTGTGCAACGCGCTTATTCTACAGTTTTTGCATCAGAATGGGTGAATTTATGACAGTACCGCCTAGGTTGCCGATTTGATGATAATACTGACAGTTTTTGGAAGCTGCTAATTCTGCGAATTTTATCTTTGACCTGAGTATCATCATTTTAGCGCTTACTCGTCCTCTTATGATATAGTCTTCACCAACTGTCATCATTTCTGTTCATGACATTCCTACAATGTATCACCTTGTTGTTCCGGAGTGGTGGACACTGTTTACTGTTATGAACATTTAGTTTCAATGAACTGGAAATCGTACAGTGAAATGACTCTCGCTCTAAGAATACCTTCTCGAAACGTTTGTTGCTTGATTTAAATACTACACATGATATTCCCATCCCATATCGTAGAGCTATTCTTGTTATTTCTCAGGAATTCTACAGATGAGTTGAAAATTAACCTGTAACTGAAAGTTTCGAATATTATCGAAAGGTTTTGATACTACAGTGTTTGACTTTTGGTTGTATAACCGTTAATCATTCATTTCAGATTGTTTTAGAGACATCAGTGAGAACGTTTAAATTCCTCAGCTTTATATAGGTTGACAGAAAGATTCTTGAGGGAAATATGTACTCTCCTTTGTGAAAATTTCCAAAGCTTTTAACAGATTTTACTTGTCTTCTCTCAATTGAACAATTTGAATTACTTTAAAGGTTCATTCACAGGTAATGTGTGTATGTATAATTCGGTGAACCGTTACAAGAGTCTATAAATCTGACTACGATAGCTTGGAGACTGGCTAACAGTCTTACGCTGTCTGTTTCCATTGTCATTCAAAAGCACATACCCAACGACCTAATTTTATTCTAGAGGAAACATCTCAGCATAGTGTTACAGCTCTTATTTCAAGTCAACATAGATGAAAATTCATGAAAATACATGAAAAATTGAACATTCATGTTATTATCACTATTCATCCATAGATGTAATCAATGAATTTTTTATTATTTGAATTTGAACATAGCTCCAAATGCGTATTCTTTGCCTCCGCCTTCAACGCAAAGTGATATTGTCACAGCTCCAAAGTACACAATGGCTGGTCGTCAAGATGGATTCATTATTACGAAAGTAAGCAGTGAAAAGTAGATTGATTGAATTTAGTATTGATTTCCTATGCAAATTCTACAGGTTTTCTTTCTTCACTGTAAACATGGGGTTGAAATGGCTACAGTTTATCTGTAACTGTTCTTGTATGCCCTTTCCTAAGATTTCGTTATATGTATGAACTCACGTATTTATTGAAATAATGTTGGAAAGTGATGGTCTCTATTGTTCTTTAGGGTATTTTAAGGAATAGACTTTGAAAACTCAGAAATGTTTCGTGAAACTGGTTGGAGGATTTCAACATGAGCTGACATCAATTGGAATTCATGGGCCATTGGATCAGGTCGGTGGTATAGCGGTTAGGACGCTCGCCAACCATGCACATGGTCCGGGGTTCAAGCACCGACCGACGCACTCCTTTACCTCGTTAAGCCAGAAATAATGCTGGTAAAGAGGAAAGGTTGGGCATGAGGCTAGCAACCCCATTCTGTAAAATAAACACTGCTACAGAAACTTCAAGCTACTAGCTTGAAGCCCCATGTTCCACTGGGGAACGTGAAGAAAAAATTATTTTTATTGGATCAGGTCCCAGTTTTTTTAATAATAATAATTTGCTTTATTCCAGAAATAGTACTAGTGGTACAGTGTGGAATTTTCAGCACTTATCTACAATATTGCATCTAATTTCATCGCACACTTAAAAGGAGTATTACAAAAAATAAATATTAAAAAAACAACAAAAAAATGCGAAAAAATACCAAGAAGTAGAATAGAAAATAAACAACACAATAAATAATATCTCAGTGTTGCGTAGTGGAAGCTATGATATGTGTATGCGTGGTGAACAGTAACAGCTATAATCATACAAGAAGTTATGAAATGACATTAAGAATGTTTATCGCGTGATCAGATAATTTGATTGAACAACACTCAACAATAATAAAATAAACATTTCAGGGGTTTTTATTGTCAGCTCTGACGTGGTGTTTGTAGTGGTAGTGTGAGTAATCCTGCATAATACAGAATTTTTAAGATGGTAATAATGGCATTCACAACCAAGATTGTCAGTTAATGTTGCTGAACAAAAACAACCACAAAACTAATATTACATGAAGGTTAATGACAGGACAATTTTGTGATACTCATAGTGCTAATATAGTCGGAACCAGAAGATACACAAAAGAAGGAATAGAGTGAAGTACAAAAAAAGTAAGCCATTGTTAATAATTTAAGTAGCTAAGTATGTTTAAGAAGGTGTTCACCATAGAATACAAATAAGAGAGAAATAAAACGGCCAAAATTATGTTATTAACAACAAAGCGAGTCATAAGTTTCGCGCTTAACGTTGTCTCTGTCACTTAGAACACGGGCTGGCCGAATATGGTATCGTTGAGTTCCTACACTTGATTGTACGAGCATGTATTATTTTGTACTGATTTCTGGTTCTACTTGATGAGATGCAAGGAGAGAGTTGGGAATAGAGGGGGTTGAATGGTCTACGAGCACCTCTTGTAATCAGAAGGTCCTGTTTTCAAATCCTGGCGGGTGGGTACTGCCAAAGATTCTGTGCGTGGCACAGTGGTTAGAACTCTAGCCGACCATGCACATGGTCTAGGGTTCGACCCCCTGCCGATGCACACCCGATATCAATGGTCGACCCGCAAAATTTGGGCTACCGATATTCATGCTGAAAATTCCATACTTGTACCAAAAATACGGTGTGGAATCAAGCTGCAATCAAAATAAAGAGAAAAAATAAAGAAGGTTTTATTTTCAAACTCTGGCTGGTTAGTACTGCCAGAGATTCCGAAGGTATGACGAAACAGCTGTCCAGCACTCACAGCTCAAACCGATATCAGGTCATGGCGAAATCCTCCAACCAATCAAAAAAGAAATCCCTACAAACCAATACTTGCAAAATAGTTTCCTAAAACTCTTGACAAATATGCTACTGCAGTTTAAAGATCCCCTTTAAGCCACATAGAAGAAAAGGTGTTCAGCATAGAGTCGTTCTTTGCAGCGATATCATTCTTTTATTTTCTTTTTTTTTATTTTTTGATTACAGCTTGATTCCATACCGTATTTTTGGTACAAGTGTGGAATTTTCAGCGTGGATATCGGTAGCCCAAAATTCGCAGGCCGACCATAGATATCGGGTGTGCGTCGGCGTGGGCTCGAACCCCGGACCATGTGCATGGTCGGCGAGAGTCCTAACCACTGTGCCACCGACGCACAGTCAAATATGTGTAAAGTAAACTCTTCTGACAAAAAAGGAATGTTTCCAAAGGTGTGTCATTAGAAAAATTGTAAGTTCTAGATAACAGTTGCATAATACAGAAGGCGTTAGTCGGGTGGAACTAAAATAAAACTGAACAGGTCATGTAAATGGTGGGACTAAGTATTATTTATTATTATTATTATTATATCCTTTAATTCCTAGAGGAACATAGGGATTCGGCTGCGCATCTCCATTGCCTTCTGTTTTCTGCCGACTTTTTCACCCCACTCCAAGTCTGCCCACATGCTTTCATCTCCTCCTCACATGATCTCCTCCAAGTCACCCTTGGACGACCAACTCGCCGCTTTCCTTTTGAGTTCCATTCGAGGGCTTGTCTAGTGATGTCACTTGATGGTTTCCTCAGAGTATGGCCAGCCAATCCATCTCCATTTCTTCCTGCATATTTGTAAAACTTAACTATATTCAAAGAAATTCAAATTAGGTACAGAGCCCGAGGAGTAGAAATATAACAGTGGAGGGAGAGGAGGGGGAACAGTAGTGTAATTTGGAAAAGGCTAAAGGATTTAAACAAATTAAGTCATTCACATCCTCCTTGACTGAACAAACCTCTCGTCTACTCAGCGTTCACGACTTAACAGGTGGATTGCCATCACCTAGGTGATTTGAAGAAGTTTGATTCGTATTCCTTTTGGAAGATTTCAGCGTATTCTGCAGATGACGCAGAAGGTAGTTTGTGGATTCAGAATCGACCGGGTTTTCCACAACTAAGGTAATGGAGGCTGATCTCTTCTCTCATTTATAAAATCATGAGGGTTATTATTGATATAACTAAGTATTCGATGACACATTTGGGTAAAAAAAAGTCGAATGTGGCCGACATGCTTAGCTCGACAGGAGCAGATGATAGACTTGATAGATATATATACTGATGAGACCAGCAGTGAAAGCTTACTCTCTGCGTTCATGTGAATCACTGGTTTTATACAGAAAGTAAGTCGCCACTCAGATGCAACGGTTTGTATTCAATGATCTGGACAAGTGAATTCTCAGTGGCGTCTTAATTGTTCAGATATCATGGGAATTGTGATGATGCACTCAGAGGAACAATTTCCAGTGAGAATCCCTTTTGCAGTGTTCACCTTGTTTTCTGCGATGTCAGCACTGAAAGTGTTGTATATTCTACGTCTCGAAAAGGGATTTCAAGTTTCGTTTTGTATGTAAAGTTTATTCTGTAGGTGTTTACCCTCCTCATTCTGAAAACATCCTTCTTATTTATCTCCATACGTGATTTATTCGATTTCATCGTTTCTGATTTTTCAAGCATTTGTTTGCGGGGTTTTGGTTAATTTCAGGAGTTTATCGTGAGCTGGCATCTGTAAGAGGAGCATAGGAAAACCTTGGATTACTCGACAGCTGATTCCTCTTAGTTTGGGACTGTTCAACAGTGAGCACCTACCGCCGCGCCAGGGTTCGAACCCGGAACATTCTGGCCACCTCTTGTGCAACGGGTCATATTAATTATTGAATTGAATTTTTGGCTCTCGTGGCCCAAGTGGTCTAGTGGATAACGCTTTGGCCTTTGAAACTATGGGTACTGGGTTCGAGCCCCGGTGGGAACATCATCACTCACTGAGAAATGCAGGTACATCCAGCTGACGAGTCCCAAATAGGACGAAATGCGCATCCTGGCTGGATTCCACTGCTAGCCACCATCCACAAATTGTATACTAATTAAATACTCAGACATCGTCGAAGCATCTGCACAAGAAGCCGACATGTCAACCTGAGACCGAGCACTTCGGTCCAATCAATCGACGGGAAAATCAAAAATTCAATTCAAAAGCGGTTACAGTTTATGAGATTAAGATTTGTTCAGTGAGTTGAGATCAGTGAATTAGATGACTAATCAAAATCAAAATTCTGTTACCAAGGGAGTGAGAGGTTAATCACACTCTCTTTCTGTATGCATTAGTCTGATTTAAGTCGTTTGATTGTGATCGCTTCGGCAAATCATAGTAAATTTGCTGTCCTTTGTCTATTTAATATTTTGAAGGACTTATAAATCTCTACGAGATGTACGGTATCAACAATGTGTCTGGTTTTTGCACTCAGGAATATCTGCTTTCTTTCAGGCACAGGTTTTTGGGAATATATATATATAATACTTATAATTCAAAATGAATTAATCTTCAGTTAACATATTTTTTTGCTCAATTATTTAGAATCCTGGACCAGCAGATTATTCCGTCGGCTCCCCTGATGTCTATATGACAGGTGCACCAAAATATACAATGGGAGTTGCAATACCAGATAGGAAATATGCCGACTATCCTGGACCACTGACTTATCGTCCTGAAAGTGTAAGTGAAGTTTACACCTGTATTGATAATAAATTGAATAATATTATTGACAGTGGTTAAATGATTCCACCACATACCAATTTTTCTAGCCTTTTAGTTTCTTATTTCACATTTATGATAATATCTACTATAGTTGCTTTCTAGAAAGACAGCGAAAACTTTGCAAATAAACTATACAATTCAGAGATAGACAAATACACCACATTTGTAGCACTCGATGTGGTGAACCACATTCTAGGAGAACGGTAAGCTACAGTACTTCAACAACTTCAAACAGGTTTCTAGTCGCTTTCGATCAGAAACAACTGTTACAGTTGTTGTTTGATCATCTATCCCGTTAGGTCTGAGATTTAGCTACACTACCTGCTGACTCTTTGGTTTGGCCAGCCTAACCTAGAGTGGTCAATCTGCTCTTAAAATCACCCCAGTCAGAAGAAGTAGGATACAACTCTCTTGGCTACTCAAAGGTATATTTATTAGCGATGAGATGAATAGGTTATGGAGATACACAATCACACCACATTGCCAACGCAAAGGTTTTGTCCACTGAAAATTATATTGACCACTACTTGTTTCTGTCCACATTGATAAACAAACTCATTTTTTGACAGCGAGACATCTGAGGTCCAACTAACTTGGTGAACTCCTGTGATCCCTTACAGTATAATGATTAGTACATACAAGTGTGTATTGGAGAAATGTCATCCCCATTAGTATTTAAGATCCCTAATGTTTTAGGAATAAGATTATATGTCTGAAGCATAGCAATGAAAATGATGAGCCTTTGCAGTACTTCCGTATGAAGAAGGGCGGTCTGAGGCCTTTCTTAGAACTCATTCATGAGATTGTAGTTAGGATGGAATTCAAACCAACCAACTCTCTCAGAGGCAAACTTTGTCGGCTTAAGTACCCCTTCCGCCAAAATATCTAAATAGGAAAATTAATATAATTTTACAAGCAACTCGTAATAAATGTGAGGTGAAACTAGTAGATAGGGGTGAATTAGACTATCGGAATATGAAAGTTTAGCTGAATCTGAAATGATTTACCCTGCCAAGTTAAATAATCTAGAAAAATGTTTGCCGATTGCGGCACCTTTGGTTGCTTGAAATCTCACAATGTTGGCAGCATAGGGCGAAGGTATTATGAGGCAATATAGTTAGGACGAGAGAGAGATGTTGAACACTAAATCTTTGTCCGTCGAATAAACGCCAAACACGTGAAATTGAGGTGGCGCAGCGGGTATACTGAATACATGAGAAATCGCGACAGATAACGAGGGGGAAGAAAGACAGAAATGTTTATTAGGCAAATTATGAAGTCAGGTGGGTATGCTGATATGATTATAAGCAATAATTTGTGTTTGAAATGTCATCCACTAATTATTACTGTATCACTCACTGTATGTTATATCAAATACACTTTCACAATGTGAGATTACACCCCACCAATGTGCCCAAATTCTACATTTGCATTATTAAAACGGTTGCGTATTTGATTCAGAGAATTCCGAGGAGTGAATTATCACTGGACAAATGCCCAAAAGATATTAGCAAATTTATACGCACTAAAAAGATTGACCGTGTCCGAATTTTTCTTCTCCCGTTGTTCAATGTAAGGCAGTGAATTGGAGGTGTTGTTCAGTTAACATAATCATCAGAATAAAAAGTACAGCAGTGAGGATACTGACCACTTGCCATGAGTCAGAATGTGAACACATATAATTTATTTTTTTACGTATTTTTTTCCTTCACGTTCCCCATAGGAATATAGGGCTTCAAGCTAGAGGCTTGAAGTTTCCATAGCAGTGGTGATTATTTTTACAAAATGGGGTTGCTAGCCTCATGCCCAACCTTTCCTCTTTACCAGCATTATTTTTGGCTTAGCGAGGTAAGGGAGTTCGTCGACCGGGGATCGAACCCCGGACCATGTGCATGGTCGGCGAGCGTCCTAACCGCTGTGCCATCGACGCTGAACACATATAGGAAAACAAATACTCAAATGGTAATTCCATATTAGTTTTTTCATTAGATATATTACACAGTGAAACAGTATTATTTACTGGATGACATTTCGAACAAAATTTATTGTTCATATCACATCAATACCCAATTGGTATTTGTTAACTTACGTTATTTTTGGTGCAGAAGTAAAAGATACCTATAATGGTGACAGGGTGTCGGGCTTTATTTGTTTCTCCTCACAACTACGAATAATATGAGTGAACAGAATTAAGAATTTCTTCTGAAATAATATCTAGAATACTAAAAGCATTTGGAATAGATGTGGCACTGAAATGAGCAAACCAACTGTTTGGCTCGGCAACCACTTAGATCTGGTCGGTCAACACTATCATAGATTTGTACAAGCAGGTACTACCAACTACCCACATTCATCAGTATTATATATACCATCATACGATACTGCTTCAAATTCGAATCCTACCTCGTTTGGAGTGAAAACATCAAAAATGTCAGGAAATTCCTAGAAACGTGGTACTCAGATGAACCAGCGACTAATGGATACATTAATAAAGATCAAATTTATCGTCAGGGTAACAGAAAATCATATTCCGGGTCAATAAAGACAGTAAATACTAGTGCAGATTAGTGAGCAGCCATGACAAAGACTGTTGGGAGATAGAATTAAGTCATCCATGGAGTACTCAGATAACTTTGCTTACACTGGGGGTGTCTGGAAGGATAAGGAAGGGTTCTCAGTTAAGTCACACAGCTCACAGGGCTCAACCACACCAGAAACATAAGCAGACTACACCATTTTAGTTACGAGTGCCTTAATAGAATTATTTCTGTGTAACATAATCACAAAGAGCGTGTAGTACTGAGTTTAAATGCGTAGTTGCAGGTAAGTTGCGGACACCACTTCATTTGACTATGCGACAGTTGAAATGGTTGGAATAGGTGGTACTCATTGTAAACTTTCTTCATTCGAGAAAGATGAAGTTTGAGTTAATTTTGAATGAGATCAAATTAAGCATAGGGTTAGTTAGTCAGTTAGTTAGCTAGAAATACGACACAAAAGAAGAATACTCTCTAGCTTATGATTCTAGTAGCGTAGAGAGAGAAAGAGGGAGAAAGGGGTGCATTTCGCCTTGTTGTGTTTCTTCAACTGGCAAAATTGGTGGAATTAATATGGATGATGATTGGTTTCACTAATGAATCCTACACAGGCTCTGATGCATTGAAAAGTCGTTAATTTGTGTGAAACAGAACGAACACGGAAATACGTTGTATGCACAAATCACTTTCTCTGACAGAGCGTTCACGGATTACTTAAGACCAATGGTATGTTCACATCGAGATTACACAAACTGACAAAAGTGCACTAAAATGCTTTGTCACTTCAACTAGTGCTGGATGAGTTGAATTCCTCATATCATTCGTTAGCCAAACGGTTGGTCACACCCTTACCACCTCTACATACACAATCCAGAAAACATACTGCGTAAAATCCCCTTGGAATTTCATTGGATTATTGAAAGGACAAAAGGTTGAAATGTTAACAATAAATTCATGAAATCGTATTTATTCTGTATTTACTAATGCATCATTGATGGAAATGGCTGATTTTATCTGTTAAGAGTTTACTAGACGAAATATCGATCTCGGCATTCTAATATCTTTAGTGAAGGAGCTTTCTTTGATATGTGAAACTATACACACATATTGATGGTGTGATCATGGGGTTACCACTCAGGACCCATTCTAGCTGACAATTTCGTTACAGAATTAGATATTGGGCCTTTGAAGTATGTGGTCGGTGAACTAGAATCCTGTTTCTACTATGAAAAATAAAAATGAAGCCAAAAATATCCTTGAAAAGTTTAAGGATGCTCATCTTACAGTAAATGTTTGCCATCTAGAAAGAAAGAAATTGCATCATTTCATTTCTAGACGTCTTTATGACTAAAAGAGAGGACGGTGCAATAAGTAAGGAAATATTGATTAATTGTCTTAGGAGCACACCTCCTACAGCTTTCAGTTTCCTTCACAATGTAACAAATCCTTAGTTTTAAGTAACCTAAGAGAAACTCAGCGAAAAACATAAAGACGAATTGGCCGAATGTGGGAGTTAACAGTTTCTAGAGGTTGTCGCTGATTAACATCAGTTTATTGTAATTTTCTAACGTGGAAGGTTTGACAGAATACGGAATAATCAGGATGTGGATAGACCAGGTAAGATTGCAAGAAAGACGTTATCTAAGGCATATAACAATCCGTTTAGTTTCAAATCTAATGGCCTCCATGAGACAAGCATTATATATGTGATATTCTATGTTGTATTTCTTGTCACTTTCAGTGCCAGTCACATTTACCAAATATACCGAAATTCACAATGGGAATAAAGCATAGTCCGTACAAAGGTGAATTCGCTATTAAATACAATGATGAGTTCTAAGTCGGAGTACCTGCTCTAATCTAACGCAGAAAGCGAATTTTCAACTGAAAATGTTTTCAGGTGAAAACAAGAAAGGCAAGAAAACGATCATGTTCTTCTCAAAAGCCCCATCTTTATTAGTTTTCATTTTTTGTTATCAATCTTAATTCTTTTAAAAGATGTCTTTTGGTTTTTAAAATGTGAGCGTAAAAGTGACCTTGGAATGTTCAACGCAGATTGAACATAAACATTAGAAACACTTTTATTGAAAAAGGGAGAAAAATCCTTAAAAGTTTTTAATACTTTCTAAAATGAAATCTGTGCCGGTTTGAAGTTTATTTTACCTTAAATAATAACAATAAAAGTAAAATATACACACTCAAACAAATTGATTTTATATTGAATTATTTTCCCATTACTAACTACTTTATGGGCTCTAAAACCTAAAGGGAATTTCAAACGGTTTGTGTTGTCGTCATGTCTTGGGTTATTGACTCCTCGCATTAGGCATAAGTAGCAACTGAACATTGACAAAGCTGTTTAAATTCGATAGTGAAGTTCATATTGGCCCTAGGTTACTTTAGACAAATGAAAGAAGAAAGTCGTTATAATTTACTAGTTATCGAATATGTTTCACATGATTTTGAAGGAGACATCGACTATTAAAGTTAGGTTGCGTCGGTGGCACAATGGTTAGGGCTCTCGCCGACCATGCACATGGTCCGGGGTTCGAGCCCACGCCGACGCAGACCTGATATCTATGGTCGGCCTGGGAATTTCGGCTACCGATATCCACGCTGAAAATTCCACACTTGTACCAAAAATACGGTGTGGAATCAAGCTGTAATCAAAAATAAAAAAATAAAATTAAAAAAATAAGGTTATCGCTAGAAGGTCGTCTTGCACATCTGATATAATTTGATGGACAATTCCCATTCCCAACTCATCTGCTCCCGTAAATTCCCAGCACTTCTGTACCAAATCTTCTCATTTCTTTTGTAATCTGGGCACCAGTCTCCACCAAAGAGGGAAATTTAGAAGGACTCACCACCTACATCTGCATAGACAGTGAAATTTCACACGGGAGCAGTACAGATAAGGATGTTAAAGGTATTCTGAATCGGAAAAACAAGATAGACCTTAATTAACTTGATATCACGATGGAAATCTACTGCACAAAGCCGGAAAAACAAGGTCTTGATCTTCAACGCTAATATGCAATCAATTCTTCGATATGGTTTAGAGACACTGAGCTCGTCAGAAAAAGCTTCCACACTGCGTTACTTCAGACTGCATTTCTCTGACTCCATACTGATGATTAGATGGTCAATCAGAAAAGATAAGTTATGAGGAACTTTGGTAATGAACTAAACAGAGATCCGTTGTCCAAAATATACGCCACGAAAAATGAGGAAGGATTGTATGCACCTTGAGAAGATTACGGAGTGATATCACACGCTAGGAAATCCCATGGGGTGGAATCAGAGGGTGATATTGAAGAGACTGTGAGAAGAGGAAGTAAAACC